TCGCTATCTGCCGTTTCACGAGGGATTCTTTCGTGTCATCGTTTATCGATCATTCCGTCAGGAAGCGTCATATTCTTATCGAGTGAGAGAGAGAGAGAGAGAGAGAGAGAGAGAGAGAAAGAGAGAATCTCCGGTTAAAAATTCTTATTTGATCACAGTACTCACGTCGTAAAACGAGAGGAAATGAAAATTGGATATTCCGAAGAGGTGAATGAGAGAGAGAGAGAGAGAGAGAGAGAGAGAGGGAGAGAGAGAGAGAGGGGGAGAAAAGAAGCGTATGTGTGACCGCGAGATGTGTTACTCGAGTACCGTTCGCCGAGTTCCGCGATATCGCCCGCTCGCCGGTTACAGCTCCGCGTCCTTGTTGTAAATTAAACGCAACAATTCGCGCAGATATCCTGGCGCGTAGGATAACTTGTTACGATCGTATCGGCGGTATCAATTACAAGAATATCGCCGCGGCACGGCTCGGGCCGCTCGCGCGACGTCGATCGACTCCTTCCCAGAAGGTAACCCGCCGTCGATTATCTTTAATGGCAGACACCTTGACGGTGTGTGCCTGGCCGAGCGGCGAGATCGAGACCTCCGGGACACGCGGCTCGGCTGATCGACGGCAAGACGATTCTGCGGATCGCAGAGCCGGAGATTAGATCATTGCTTTTCGTTCTGGGTATTCTCGGCGGCGGCCGAGGCTCGCGACGGAAAAGAAGTTCCCGTCGATCGTTTCGTATCTTTTTAATTTACTGTAGAGAAAAAGAGAAGACAGAGATAGAGAGAGAGAGAGAGAGAGAGAGAGAGAGAGAGAAAGAAAGGGGAGCGGAGAAAGAGAGGGATTTATATTTATTTTTATCTCTTTCCACACCGCGCTCCTTCCCTCTCCTACACTCGCGCTTTCTCTCTTCTCCGTACCGCTGCGCGATCGACTGTTCGGCGCTTGGATCGCAAAGATATGATTCATTATGATCGATAAGTACGTATCTCCGGCGGCCGGTTCCATGAAAATTGGGTTATATTAAATTCTTAATGAAAGATTCTTAAAATAACCTTTCGCGGATGCAGCTGGTGTAGCTAGCCGGCTGGGGCTAGCTAGCTGCGCCCGAGAGCGGCCGAAGGAGGGAGAAGAAGAAAGAGAGCGGAGCGGAGGATGAGACGCGCCCCGTCCAATAAATTCCACCGATTATTAAGCAGATTCTGTGCCCAGCTTCTATCTAATACCGATGAACCCTGTGAATACCCCACGCCCCCCTCCCCCGTAGTCGTCGACCTCTCCCATTTACCGGCCGATTGCGAAATACAGTTCGCTGATATTAGAGAGTCGACAGTAGATGAAAATTCCCCGTACGACAAGTAGTACGCTCGCGCGAGGAAAATACACGACATTTCCCCGCTCCCATCGGAACGAAGGAAAGTGACTTGCGCTCGGGAGTCGACTCGTTGATTCATATGTGTAACTAGCGACTGCACATCGGAGTATCCGATAACGATCGCCGATACGTAAACGAAAACCTATCTCTACTTCAATATAGATAAAAGCGAGGCGAGTCCAATTCACGAGAAAGAGAGAGAGAGAGAGAGAGAGAGAGAGAGAGAGAGAGAGAGACGTTCGATCAATCGCCGCTCCTAACGCAACCGCGGAGAGAACCGCTAACGCGTCGTCTAAAACACATATCGCCGCACCGAGCGCAGCCTTTTTTCCTCGTTTCGTACTTTTCCAGCGTAAAAAACGCACACACATATGCACACACGCGCACGCTTGCACAAGAAAAAAATCACAGAAGGCGATTCTCGCGACTGCGAGGCAAGCAGGCGGGGAAGGGGCGGGGAAAGAAGAAAGGGGGAAAACGAGAGCAAAAGAACAAGAGAGAGGAGAGGGCGGGGCGGGAGGGGGGGAGGGGGAGGGTGGAGAAAAAGAAAAGCGCTCTCGGCGCGACATTTCGCCGCGATTGAGATCTCCTCGCCTCTCTCGCGATTTCCACGTTCGTCCGCTCCGGCTCGTCGTCGTCCGTCGGAATTTCTCGGTTACATCATCAGGAGGAGTTTTTGCGGCGCGTTCGCGCGCATACACACGCGCACGTAAAACACACACATGTGTGCGGGCACAGCGAGCGAGCGAGCGAGCGAACGATCGCGATCGCACCCATACACACATAAGTACGTGCGAGCGAGCGAGCGCGCTCGCTCGTTCGCTCGCTCGCTCTCTCTCTCTCTCTCTCTCGCACGCCGCCTATGTCCTACAAGCTTGCTGGACAAAGTTGTGGCCGGTATCAATTGGCCGTGCTCTCCGCGTTGTATACCGGTCGACCTTCTGGAGTTGCAACACGAGACCTGACACAGATAGGAGAGGCTGCCGCTGCAGCACAGCGAGCCGACAAGCAACCAGTCGGTCCTGGCATCGCTCGGCCACGTAGTGTACGCCTTGCGAAACTGCCGGCTGGTCGACCGCCGACCGACCGACCGACCGATCGACCGTCCGACCGTCCGTCCGTCCGTCCGTCCGTCCGTCCATTCGTCCGTCCTCGTCACTCGTTCGTTCGTTCGTTCGTCCGTTCGTTCGTCCGTTCGTTCGTTCATTCGTTCGTTCGTTCGTTCGCTTCAGTGAGGAAAAGCCGTTAATTTCGCCGGGATAAAATCAATCAAAGCGAGATAGAATCGCGCGTCGCTAGACTCTCGAAGATCGCTCACGCGGATCGATTAGAGCGCGGCGCGATGCCGCGGATATCACGGCGGAGAACGAGCGCGCTCGCGCGCTGCTCTTTCCGCGCGCCGATGAAAAACGATCCGGCCATATAGGTAGGCGATCCTACTCTCTCGGCCCGAGAGAGCCTCGGCCTTATTCCCGCCCGAAGCTCGACCCTGACCACACCATCTCGGACGGTGGCCGTAAAAGAGGACGGTTTTTCGGCCGAGAGCGGTGTGGGAAAGAGCGTTTTCGTGCCGCGGTTTTAACGTGTCCGCGCATCCGGTTAGGTCCGCTCGCGCCTTCGGAAAAATGTCGGCCGCGCGAGGAGAGACAACGAGAGAGAGAGAGAGAGAGAGAGAGAGAGAGATTACTCGGGAGTCGAGTGCTCGGTACGTAATATTACGGTGGACACGTCGCCGTTGTCGCACGGTGATCGCCGGCGTCACCGGCGGACACCGCCGTGCCTCGCTGATTAACATGTGAAACGCGTGAGCGATTGCGTGTAACGTTAAACATACGGCCGATAGAAGTCAATGAAATGAGCCGGCGAACGATCGCCTCGCGAGTGGCGTTTATTTACCGTATCTTGGGCGATCCGCGAACTTGAGCCGAGCATTGGAGTAATCAATGGAGATCAGTTTTAACGGGGCGCTTGTCATGTGGCGTGTGTGCGTTGATCCGCTGATGATCGGCATCGAGCATTTCCACAGTCGTCCATATAGCTGTTACAAGAAGATACTTTACGTCGTGAACCTGACGCGAATGACGCGATTAACGTCGGCACCGCCACGAATTGCTTTCCCGCGCCGCGACCGGAGATCTGATTTCGCGAATTATGTTTAGAAGAGATTTCTCTTTCTCCGCTTCTCCCTCTCTCTCTCTCTCTCTCTCTCTCTCTCTCTCTCTCTTTCTCTCTCTTTCTCTGTATATGTCTAAAGAGAGTAGCAGCTTGATCGCGCTGATGCGCGAAAGGTGCGAGTACGACTCGCGCGCGCGCGCGCGCGCGCGCGTCACCTTCGTCGCGGCGACGAGGCGTAAGCAATTTGCGCTTTCGACGAATCGCGAGTCGCCGCACAGGCTCTTGATCTGGGACAATAAAGTCCACGGTCTTCCTGTGGGCGTACGGTAACGCGGACAGCCTTCGATAGCTTCTTCTTAACGACACCTCTTACGTGACGCCGCGGTGACGCCGCGACGTGCGAACTTGCGAATTCCTGCGCGCGTAATTCTGCTCTCTCGAGCCGAGAGGAGATACGCCGGGTCGATCGCGGGGAATAATCAGTCGAAATTACTGGCACGTGTCGCCGCGGTATGGTAAATAATTATGAAATACAAAATCATTTATTGGCGGCAGAATCTTTTGTAGTTACATAACACAGGAGCGATTGTACGAGACTTCCCGTTGAAGCGCTATTCTCGTGTCATCTGGTTGGGTCCAAGATCCAACGAGATCACTTGTGACGAAACGTGTGCAATGAACGAAAAAATCATCTCGACACGGTCGTCGTTAGTTTCAAGTGGAAGGACACTTGCCCGCGAACGAAACGACCGACGCGGTCGCGAGCAGCACGCAGAGCGCTCGACCGAAACAAGAGGCCGCGCGAGGACACACCGTGACACGTCGCGCGCGACACGGTTGCACCGCGACTGCATCTGCGCACCGCGCGTATTATCATAACCGGCGTACGGCGGAAAATGAGTTTCGCCAACTTTTAAACACGTCGCCCCGCTGAGAAAGAGACTGCCTCCCTCGTTCTCGGCCGCCGTAGCGCCCGACGAGGACGAGGACGAGGCCGGGGCGAGAGGAGGAGGAGGAGGAGGAGAGCTCTCTGAAGTTAGCAGAAGCAAATCGGCAGAATCCAAGCCGCAGCTCTTGCTCATCATTTAGTATCTATTTTCTACTGTTCGCACCTATTTCACATTGTTTCACATTATACGGCATTGTATTGTAAAAGAGGAATATTTTATGTATCATACTATATCGCAGCACGTGGAAATCGGAAAAATGGAAAAATTTTTCCCTTTATTTATCCTCTTTTTCTTTCCTTAATCTTGTGGCATCCGCTGTCTGCGGATGAAGTCAACGTAGCGCCCACGGTTTTTCCCGAAATAGCGGGGAGTGTAAGAGTTTGACTAATTACAAATTAATACGAAGTGGCTGGTAAATAGTCCAGCGCGGCTTGGTTTCGCCGATTTGGCGCTGCCTTAGCTCAGAGAGGTCGAGAGGAGAGGCCTCTCGCGACTAACTAACCCGCACGTTGCCAGCGTCGAGCTGGGGAAAATGCTTCAGGACCTAACGGTGGCTTTCTGTCTGTTGCAGGAGAACATCTCGACCCCAGAGCCCGCCGACATATCCGAGGACGATCACTATCCAAGTGAGTAGAACCTTTCATTATCTACACACACACACACACACACACACACACATATATATATATTTCTCTCTCGTTCTTTTAACGTTAGACCTTGCCGTGCCTTTCTCAGTCAGTGTCGGAGGTGGTCAAACCTTTACCCGGCTAAGGATTACGAGATCGTAGTCCTTACGAAACGCGCAAAGGCGTATACTCGCCTTGCCTGCCTGCCTGCCTGCCTGTCGCGTGCGTGGTTTCGTCTCTTCGGTTCTGCCGTGTCCCATTCGCGTTTCTACTTCTCTCCTCCGACGCTCGACTCAGCCCGCGAGCGCGCCTCCTTTCGCGTGGAGGAAGCCTTTGGCTGCCCTTTTTGTTCCTCTCTTTTTGTTTTTTTCCCTGTTTCTTTTCTTTTTCTCGTTTTTAGAGTCACTGCACCGCGCGCGCAGGTCAGGTCGCGCGTCCGTTTCGGGAATCTGACCCGAATTCCCGCGGCGCAGCGCCGCGAGTTTCTACATTATTGAATCGTGTCCTGAATGATTCAGACGTCACTCCCGTGCGTGGTCAGCCCTCTGTCTCTCCCTTTTCGTGTGTCTCTGTGTGCGCATCTCTCCCTCCCCTCTCCTCTCTCTCTCTCTCTCTCTCTCTCTCTCTCTCTCTCTCTCTGCCTGCTCCTCTCCCTGCGGGTTTGTTCGCCGGTTAATAAATCTCCGCTCTCTGTCGTCGTCGGCGCGACCAAAACGCCCGTCCGCGCGTGTCACCGCTAATTCCGCCGCTCGGACGAACAAACGGGAGCGCGTGGCCCGCGATATGCTAGAAAATCTGCGGACAGTCCCTTTGAACCTCTCCGGCCCGATTACGTGCGGTCGTGCTCCGCTGGGAACTACGCGCGGCCACGGTTGTTTCAGTCGTTCCCGGCGGAATTTGCGCGAATTAATAGTAAGCCCGTCCCGTATACTTGGTACCGCCCGCGCCGCCGTCGTCGTCGTCGTCGTCGTCGTCGTCGTCGTCGCCGTCGCCGTTGCGACTCATGATAAGCCGCGTTAACGATGAACGGATCGAACCGCGAGAGTTTAACGATCGCGAACGGACGCGAATTCCGGAGCGCGGCAACGACAGATTCGCTGGACGCGACGAGACGACGCACGCTCCTTCCTCGATCCCGACTCGCGCGATTTCGGACGCATCGGACATTTTTCGAGTTCGTCCAGTCGCGCGAGCTGATCGCGCGAGGAATCATCTCGATCGTCCTCGCGCCTAGCCGCGTCGCGCGTAAAATCCAGCGCGATCGCCGGAGCGGATATCTGGAATTTTTGCATTCTCGATCATCGTTCGCCGGTGGTCTCGGCTGGCATTTCACCAGTAAATAAATGGAAGCGCGGTAATCTAAGGGTTAATATCAACGACTCGATTCGCCGGATCGGATCCGCGTGTTACGTTCGCGCGCGGCCTCGCGCGGCTCGCGTAGCGCGGGATCGATACGACGAATTAGAGTATCGTCGAGCGCGTTACTCAGCACCGTGCATTCGATTACGGTATCGCGGCGGGCAGAAATGAACGGCTCGTCTTCGACGCTTTTCGCACCGAGAGAAGGAGAGAGAGAGAGAGAAAAAGAGAGAGAGAGAGAGAGAGAGAGAGAGAGAGAGAAAGAGAGAGAGAGAGAGAGAAAGAGAGAGAGAGAAAAAGAGAGAGAGAGAAAGAGAGAGAGAGAGACAGAGAGAGCGAGAGAGAGACAGAGAGAGCGAGAGAGAGACAGAGAGAGAGAGCGAGAGAGAGAGAGAGAGAGAGAGAGAGAGAGAGAGGGAGAGAGAGAGAGGATGAGAGGGTGTGAGAGGAAGCGGACGTGTGCGGGAGCGCGTTACGGTGAGGAAAGAAAAAGAGAGAGAAAGAGAGGGAGTGAGAGCGGAAGATCGATAATTTCGCGAGAGCGAACACATGGTGCTACACGCACTGCTTTCACACACGTACACAGCGCCGATCCATGCGTTCGATGAGCCTGCCTGCGTCTAAATTAGGGCTTCCAAGTATTCATACATCTGACTATCTGGAAATCCGAGATCGGTTTCGAGATCGGGCAACATAAAACCGCGTTACTCGTCTAATTCGAATATTCCGAGTCATTCAGATCGTAAAGGAAAATCGTAAGGAGAAGTGGAGATGCGAATTCGGATACGAAGTAATTAAAGAGACACGCAGATAAATAAAATGGGTCACTGTAATGAAAAAGAATTATTCGGAATACATAATTGTTGCATACACTATTACACACGTACGGAATACATAATTAAGAAAACACATAAATAGAGTCAGTCGCTTCGAGTCGTGTCGTCAAGTCGCGGCTGACGACGATCGATTTGCCGATTGTGAAGCTTCGGAGAGAAATCTAGATCGCTGCGAATGTACATCTGTTTGGCCGATTTTACCGCGAACTTAAATATCGCTCGTTGCATCTTCGTCCGTCCAGATATCTTGGGAGAATTCGAATTTCCCCGGGATAACCCGAAGCGTCGCATTGATCCGCTGTCGGAAATAATCGGATTTGCGGGTGATGTTAGATTATCCGAAGTAATATCGAAGCGACGAGTTTTATTCTCTCGCGATGGCACGGAAATTAATAAAAGAACTCAGGGAGAGACGCGGGGGGGGAGGGGGGGAATCTATGCTCATACGAGGTGACAAAGTTACCGTCGTCGATCAGCGTCGACGCTGGACCAGCGCGATTTTCAGCGCGGGAGGACAAGTTCATCGTGGCATTCGCGTATCGGCGTATTCTCGCAAAGCCCTGCACGCGAGAGGGGACAGGCAGTTTTTTTTTCTTTTTTTTTTTTTTTTTTTTTTTTTTTATAACCTTGTACGTGAAATTTTTACACTCGCGTGAAATTCGCGAGATACGACTTTTCAATCTCGAGAGCGGAACTATAGATTGATCAGCGGCCGATTGCAGGACTCCCCGGGCTTCCCGGCGTCGCACGCGTCGAGTCGCGAATCAGATCGCGACTCGCTTATCGGCGGAAATGCACATTCGTGTCGCGCGCATTACTCATCGCTCGCGTCGCCGCTCGGCTCGGTCCAGTCATATATGGCCGACGATTCAACGCCGACCGGTCTCTCATTTTTCGCGTCCGTTCGCGTTGGGTCAGCTTTGCTCGTCGCTCCTCGCTCCTCGCACGCTTCGCCTTTCGGCGAGGAGACGGCGCGTCGTCGCTCTCGCTCTAGGATATCAGCCGCAGTCGGCGGTTATCGATATCGGTATCGCGATGGTGCGCGAGTCACGATGAGACGAGTAGCGAGCAACGACGACGCTCCAAACCGGACCATACATTCTCGGACCGCTCTCTTTCTCTCTTCCTCTGTCCCTCCCGCCTCCCCCCTCCCTCCCCTCTCTCTCTCTCTCTCCTTGCTGGCCGGTAGCGGTGGATATCTCACGGAGCAGCGAGCCGCGGACAGGACGTCGTTAATCGCGCCCGTCGAATTGTACCGCGGCGCTGATCAATAATCTAACGACGTCTCTCACCGCCGGCTTGACCGCGTGTCCGAAGGATAAATCATGAGTCGCGTACTCGGGCACGGCCAGGCGGCGCAGGGCAAGGCGGCGAGGGAAGGGCGGGGCGGGGCGGGAGTTAATCGTAGACTCACTCTCGCGGGGCTTAATCCCGCTCTCGCGAGTTGGTTTTTGTCAGGGCCCGTGTAAATTAGCCGGCCGATTAATAATCGGTAACCGACGTACGGCTTTGCGTACACACGCATGTACAAGGGTACGCACATACTCGGCTGCACGCGCGCGCGCGCGCGCCCGCGCGACCGTCGCTGATTTATCAGTTTCGGGTAATTAAACCTGTTGCGTTATTAAGCGCCGATTAAATCGAGTCGCTACGCTACGCGAGCGTGGTTGTTTTGTAAGTTTAATTTATTCGCTCCCTCTGTTCCCCCTCCCCCTCTCCCCTCCCCCCCGTCCCTCCACCTCGCCCGGGGAGCTGCGCTCGCGCTTGCGAGTAGTGCGCTCAGGTAGCTGATAAGTGATAATAGCCTGAGGCCGCTCGCGCGCCAGTCCGGCCGGACGGTGGATGACGAATGTCGCGACTCGCTTGTGATATAGGATCGCGTCCGGGCGTGAGCCCACTCTCGTATGAGCAAAGACTCCCGTTGAGAGAGAGAGAGAGAGAGAGAGGGGGGGGGCGGGGAGAAAGGGAGAGGCCGGGAGTGAGGGAAGGAAAAGTGGAAGAGCTCGAGCGACGCGAGCTTTGCTCAACGAGCAGGTTCGCTCAAACTCGATCACCAGTTCGCCGTTCGCGAGCTAACAATGTAACCAATTAACACTTTTAGTAGCAGGTGCGCTGATGAAGGACCCGGATAAGCTGAAGTTGATGCTGCTCGCGTGGAATTATAATCTGCAGCAGCAGGCTCACGCCCAGGTTCAGGCCGCCAACGCCGCCCTATCGCCAAATAACTCCGCGACCACTACGGCCACTACCGTCGGCACACCTGTCACCAGTCAATCAGCTATTTCCACAGCGAACAACACCATTAATAATGCCACGCTCACAGGTAATTTCGGTGGAGGCGCGTTACTTTGAAAATAATCGCCAGCGGATTTTAAATAGCCGTATAACTGTGAATATATATATATATACACGCGGTGCCTCTCGGCGGTCCCCGAAGAATGGTCCCTCATTTGTCCCCCTCACACGCTCGATCTTCCTCCCCTTTACGGCAAACGAAAACTTGAAAATTTCCTTTAAAAGATCTTCGGACTCCGCGCTAGCGCGCGACAAAAACGTTAACATTTAAGCGCAACGTCAACCGCGTCGGCGACGCGTACGTGGCCGCGGACGTCGCGTTGCAAAAGAGGACAAGGGAAGAAAGGTCGCGAGGGAGAGAGAGAGAGGGGGGAGAAAAAAGAATTCAGCAGCGCGAAATCGACAGACGACGACGCTTAACGGAATCCATTACGGGACGGACGTTCGCGTCTAGACGTCTTTCTTCTTTCTTGTGCGCGTCGCGAAAAGACCCGACACACGCGAAGTCACGCGCCGCGACGTCCCATTGATGTGTCGCCTAGCTAGGCTGACGAAATCTCGCTTATGAAAAGAACCTCGCTCCGCCTGGCGTAAACGCGCGCTCGCGCCCGCGGGCTTTAATGCTCAACTTCTGCGTCCTTCTCGCGCTCGCGCTCGCGCGCCTTGCGGCTCGCGCGACGGAGTGAATTGCAGGTTTCGCGGGGCCAAGGTGTACCGGCCATTTAGCTCGTAAAGTTTTGTCGTCGCGCTCGACGTGACTAATGGATCGCCGGCCTAGGACGTACCCCGTGGCGTAGACAGAGAAATCCGATGCGCGCTCCCGTGTGAGTGTGTGCGTGCGTGCGTGCGTGCGTGCGTGCGTGCGAATACGTCCTCGCTGATCGCTCGCGCCTACGCGAGTTCCAGCGAAGCCGCGCCACGACGTCATCACAGGGTGCATCGCGGGGGTGAGGAACGCCGGTGAGTCCTCCTCGTTCGCTTCTCTCCGCCGGCGATGAATCAGAGGGGGCGGAAAGCCGCGTACGAGATGAGGAATGCAAAAGCGATACCTTCGGGTATCGATACCGCCGCAGCCGCAGCCGCCGCGCTCGCACGCGCGCGCGCGCGCGCGCCGTTGTATATTTCATCCTCTCGTTCATCTCGGGCCTTACGCAATCGCCGCCGGTCTGCCGGAGACTCGCGTGTTTTTGAGTAACCACGTTGGAGTGGCTCTTCGTGAGTCGCATTCGTGAGCGCGATCACGTTCAACGAGAGAGAGAGAGAGAGAGAGAGAGAGAGAGAGAGACGCTGGATCTCTCTTCTCCTTGTTTCCGTTTTCCTTGTTCGCCGCGGTATATTTACACTTTTCATCGACGTATCGAGATCTTTCGGATGCAAGCATCGCTTACATTCCTCATGATAAGCGCGAGAGGGAGATGGGACGCTGTGTGACTTTGGTATCGCGTGCTTGAGTAATCCGGTCGAATAAAGAAATGAGTCACGAGAGCGACGGATGCGACGGCGCGGCGGTGATCGCGTCGTCCGTGCCGTGACGTGTGCGCGTCGAAAGTCGAGTGGAAAGAAAATCGCGCCGCGACGCGCCGGCGCGGGTCCATTAACCGCGCTACGCTTACGAAGTCGCACGAGTGGCCACTCTCAAATTAATTCCGCATTCCGGCTCCGTGCGTAGCTGCGTACGCATTGTTAATCCTCTTACTCGGCCAACTAATGTTTCTTTTTCTCTCCCTCTTTCCTTCTTTCTTTCGCTCTTCTCCTTCTCTTTTTGCAAATGCGGACGAACGACATTATGTATTTTGTCGCGCGAGCGACAGCGTGCGTCACACACGCCGCGGAGGGAAGAGCAAAAAGCAAACGCGACGTCGCGTCGGTGCGGTCGCATCGGCGGCGACCTTCGAATTAAAATTCGATCGCGCGCGGAATCTGTCGTCGTGTTCCCCGTCCGCCGTGACACGTCGGGAAAAATACGACGTCTGAGCGGCGCTCCGTTCTCAGAGTCGGCTCGTCTCGTCATTCGTGAGCCGCGCGCGTCTTCAGCGAGCGAGAGGCACTCGCGTTAATTGCCGCATATATCCTTAACGTCGCGATAGTCGCGCTCGCTGCTCCGCCGAGGAGCGTTTCCGCGCGATGTTGCGCGCGCGCGCGCGCGCGCGAGCACTCTCGGGACTCGCCTGTTGTTCAGTTAGGCCAGGTTGCGGAAGGATAATTCACCGTGCCCCTCCGCCTCGGTACGCCTCTTCCACCTATCCTCCCTGGCAGCTATTTGAAACTGGTTTCGAAGCGGGCCTCTATATCTCGGACGTAGTCATTGCGTAATGAACCAGCTATCGGCCGAAGAGACGCGCGTAGAGAGAGAGAGAGAGAGAGAGAGAGAGAGAGAGAGAGAGAGAGAGAGAGAGAGAGAGAGAGAGAGAGAGAGAGAGAGAGAGATAAAGTGCACACATACACACGCGCACACAGACACGTACGGTTCCCATTGCATGACGGGGACCGCTTCTCTCTCGTGCTCTCTCGCCCGCCCCCTCCCCTTTTCTCCCACGTGATGACCGGCGCAGATTCCGCATCTCGCGCGAAACTTCTCCGGCGAGTGTCTCGCGGTAGACGCGAACGGGAGTTTCGCAAATCGATTTCTCGATGGGGCCGCCTGTTCTGGCGCGCCGCGAGATCTCGGGCGGGAAAAGCGACGAAGCAGGCAGCAGCGGCGGGAGGGAGGGAGGGAGGGAGGGATCGGTCGGCGAGTTGCTGCTGGTCGCGCGAGCCCGCGGGTAATCTCGGAGCCGCGATCTCTCGCGCGACGTGTGTATTCTTACCGATGCGGGATTTGCATTTTCAAGCGAGGACTCGAGAGCGGCCGCTCGCTCTCCTCGTAATTTCGCCTCCGCACCTCGTCAAGTACGCGATAAGTCCCTCCCTCCCTCTCTCTCTCTCTCTCTCTCTCTCTCTCTCTTTTTCTCTTTTTCTCCCGAGGGATTTATTAGAAACAATTATACACGATATTGACCGAAGCCAAAGCTAGCATTTGCCGACGATTTGCGTTTCCGCTCGTGATTTCTCCTTTTTGCGCACACTCTTGGCAATCTTTTTTCTACTCGTGCAACATTGACGCAGAGGGGAAGGGGACGACTTTTCCGAAAGCGAACGGCGGCGAGACGCGACAGGGAGTCGCTTGCGCGAGCGCGACCGGCTGTGATATTCGCGGCGCGAATCGATTTCTCGATAAAGCCGCCTCCGTCCATGCGAGCAGACGGAGATCTTGATAAAAAAGACACGGCCACGAGGACATCTCGGTTTCTCATCTCTTAATGCACTCCGCGGAGTCGGCGGTGCAATATTTATAATTTACAGCGGACACAACTTTCCCCCCTGACATGCATCCGACGATTATGCCCGCGATATGTCACAAAATCACGACGTCTTAAGTACGGCCGCTTCCGGATCTGCGCCGTGCACCGGGCACGACAATGCGCAATTTTTCTCTTACGTACTTACGCACGGGAAGATCGCCCACGCGATAATACGGCCCGACGGCCCGCTTTATGTATTCTGGGTTTTTACCTAACCGCATAAATTATGAATCGCGATTGAAATGCAGAAGCGAAATCCTGCCGACATCGACATCGTGTATCAATTATTGCCGGCGCGCGCTCGTCACACCGCGGGGAAAAACAAATGAATAAGTGAACGAATTGATTCACGTACGAAAAATAATTTTCGTACCGTGAGGAACCGTTGATGAAATCACCAGCTGCAGGGAGATCGGACGAGTGGATGAATCTTAAATGACTCCTCTCTTTCCCCCTCTCTCTCTCTCTCTCTCTCTCTCTCTCTCTCTCTCTCTCTCTCCCTCTCTCTCTCCTTCGCTCTTTCTGAAACTTCGATCAAATTACCATCGCCGATCGGAGACGACCGGTCACCGGGATGAGCAAAAATTCGATGCCCTCGAGTTCCAACAAGTTGAACATAATTAATTCACTTTAACCTCTCTAGGAACGAATTCACTAGAATCGGAAGGAAATAATTTAATTTTAAGCCGATGTAGATGCCGCGACATTTCTCTCCTTCTCTTCGCGATACCGATGTCCATTCGCGATGAAATGAACGTATCGAAACACGAAACGCGTATGAGCCTCACCCGAGGAACTTTAATTATCGGCTATCGAGCGGACTTCCGAATTTTCTTTGGCGCGCATGCACGCACGCACGCACGCCATCACGCGCCGCGTCCCACTATGGTCGGTGACATTTATGAGGGACAAGATAATACGTCTTCGTCCATCTTCGCGATTGCACGTTACCGTCCAACGTGGTATCCGGGAGTATCCGCGCAACGAGACGGACGAAGCGAGCGAGGGAAGGGCGAGGGAACGAGTCCGTGGGGGAGAGGAGGAGACGGTGTTTCATACCTGGCCTGGCCCCGAAGTACCGTGGGCGTACGTGGCTTGTCTGCGAATTTTGTAGCGCCTCTAGCCTCTCTCGCGAACGGTCTCGCGGCGTTGGCGAGGCTCTCGCGCGCGCACCACGTCGGGTCGCCGGCGTGGTGCGCCTAGAGAAAAAGAGGAAGTGCTCGGTGTGGCCTCTCTCCCTCTCTCCCTCTCTCTCTCTCTCTCTCTCTCTCTCTCTCTCTCTCTCTCTCTCTCTCTCCTTCCTTCTCTCGCAGAGGCCGGGTATTAGTTTTCCTTTGCGGGAAGAGAGGTCGAGGGAACGAGGAGAGGACGAACTGCCGGGTGGGGCGCCGACGCCGCCGTCGCCATCGCCATCGCCGTCGTCGTCGTCGTCGTCGACGACTGATTTCAGGTTCAGGCCAGCGGCCAAGAGGCGAGTTCAGGAACGATGCTAGGTGGGATTGGGATTGGTAACCGGCTTTCTAGCCGGCCTAGCCGAGCGCTCGCTTATGTGCGTGTTTTCTGCCTGCCTGCCTGCCTGCCTACCTCCTCCGACTACTCTCCAACGATACCGGCGTACTACGCTCGCCGCAGGCCGGGAACCCTCTCTCGGTGTGCGCACAACGCTGTACCTTCCTAGAGAGTGAGGGGGGGGGGAGAGAGAGAGAGCGTTACGAACACACACACACACACACATACACACGCAGGCGCTTTTTTCCTCCCATGGGCCGCGTGTGCCGCGTGTAGTACCGCACGCGTGTGCGTGCGAGAAGCGAAGTGCAGCAACCTCCGGGGCCGAGTGGAAACGTCGGGGAGAGGAGAGGAGAGGAGAGGAGAGGACAGCAGAGCAAAGAGAGAGAGAGAGGGAGGGAGGCTAAGGCAGAGGGAGAGGCACAGAGAAGGGAGGAAAGAAGAAACGCACGATGCAGCACCGCCAGCACGCCTCCTGGACGAGGGTCCAATTTCCTGGGTCGTCCGCTCGCGCATTCAGTTATACTGGTTCTACCGGAATCCTCGTAGAAAGATGCGTCGCGATCGCGGTCTGAAGAACGCCGGTGGAATCAGGATCTCTGGCCGAGATTGCTGCCGCGCCCCGGATAGACTTCCCGCGCGCGTCGCGGGAGAAGTTGAAGACGCCCGGCGGAAAGTTGCACCGCGACGATGCAAATGTTGCGAGATATTGCCTTCGCGTTCGTTCGTTCGTCCGTTCGTTCGTTCGTTCGTTCGTTCGTTCGTTCGTTCGCTCGCTCGTTCGCTCGTTCGTTCACTCGTTCGTTCATCCGTTCACTCGCTCGTTCGTCCGAAGTGGCGTCTCGGAAACTACGAGCTCGGAAGAATTCGATTCCAGGTTGCAGATTACTTCGCGCGCGGCTGGGCGAGGTGGGGAGTAAGATGCGAAGAGAGGAGAGATAGAGACGGAGAAAAAGAGAGAAAGAGAAAGAGAGACGTGGATGTAAGATCGCGAGCTCGGTTGCTTGATGAGCTACGTCATCGTGCAAACAAACGCACCTCGCGATCCACCGTATTCGTCCGAACGTCTGTTCCGAGAGACTTTCGCATCATCGGGTCATCCGCCTGCCTCTCCTCTTTCCTTTCTCTCTTTCTCTCTCTCTCTCTCAGCCTCTCGTCTAACTTCACTTAAACATTCGTATAATGAGCGCGGTGAGGAATAACATTCCGGTCATCGTAAATGAAAAATGTGTTATGCTCTTGGCCGCGGATTGGATCGAGAGGATAATACTAGCTTCTCTCTTTTTACGCGTTACACCTCTCTCTCTCTCTCTCTCTCTCTCTCTCTCTCTCTCTCTCTTCCTTCCGTATTATTCGCGGCTCCCTCTCTGGAAACGAGTTCGTCCGTGACTGAAGGACCGTTTGACGGCGCTCCGAATCGGCCGGGTAATTCGAGTAGCGTGTAACAAAATTAAGACACGAGGCCTGCGGCCACTTTCTACGGACGTCACACCGCGACATCCCGACGCGGTATCGATCGCGCGCGCGCGTGCGAGCGAGCGAGAGGCCGTCCCTTCTTTTAATCGAAGACCGAACGAGGGGCCTCGCCGCCGCCGGTGGAAGAGGCCCGCGAGGTTCTCGTATCCTCTTTACGATCGCCCCGCGGCACTCCTTGACGGCGAGATCCGCTCCTCCTATCTACGCTACGATGCTGCCTCTCTCGCGAGATGCCGCGCGACTCCGTACCCGTCCCCGTCCTCCCCTCCCCCCTCCCTTCCACCGCCGACGTCCTCTCGTAAAAGCACCTTTACCGTACGTTCTCTTCTGGGATCGTGAATCGTGACGGTAGAGGAGCGCGCACCGCCTTTTAACACCTCGCGCGCACGCCATTGAGCTTATTACGGGTTTCGAGAGAACGGGTCTCCGTTATTATTGTAGAGAAAGAGAGAGAGAGGGGGAGAGTCCGCGGGACGACAACGGGGCCGCCGAACACAACGCTCCAATCTCCTTGTCATCGGCGCGATTGACATGCTAAACCCCGCTGTGCCCTCCGTGGAGAGAGCGAGAGAGAAAGGCCGGATCTGTCTTCCTTCTCCGTTCTCTCTCCAGCCCGAAAATTTGAGTCACGAGCGAGAAACGCTGAGTCGGTTTAAATGTTATTTCTCCGAGGCTCTCACGAGGATTTTGAGAGCGGCCAAATTAATTCCGAGTGCTCTGCAGCGCGGTGCTGCGAATAACGGAATATCGCACGGGCGTGGATTAAAGGGTAACAGACAGAGAGAGAGAGAGAGAGAGAGAGAGAGAGAGGGGGGGGGAGAGCGGAGGAGGAGGATCAGAGGGATAGAGTGGAGTGGAGAGTGAGAAATCAAGGTTACAAAATTCTATGAGACACGCATTCATACGCGCACGCGCCACATGGTCGCTGTATCGAGACGCCGGAGAAGCGACGGCACTCTCACCGACGCGAAATCAGCCGGCGAAGAGCGCGCGAACTTAATTAATTGACGCTCCGGCCCGACTGTCCGGCGATCCGTCGATACGGAACTCGGTATTTATCTTCCCGCCCGACTTTATTTATCAGACGTCCAACTTGCGCATCGAGACGTCATCGAGACACGACGGCCACCGAAGTGACCCGCGAAAAGTCCAGCGGCTCTTCCGCCGCCGGTTCCACTTTCGGGGCCGAGTTTACGCTTAGCTGAAACTTCCAACTTCCGTCTGTCGCTAATAGACGCGAGCATGAAGCTAAGAGAGGCTCGTTTGCGAAACGCTACCTCCGCCGGTCGATCATCCCTAATCAGCGGCGTCACGCGAGCGCTGGAGCGACGACAACGACGACGAGGACGAGGACGAGGACGCGAGGAAGTGTGCTGCACAGCAGCGCGTTTATCGATATTATATTCGCGGGATAAATACCACCCACGTGCCTCCCTCCCCCCCTCTCTTTGTCTCTTCCTCTCCCTCCCGCCGTGACGTCGTCGTGTATCTAGCCGGTCGCACATGACCGGCTCCTCGCCTGACCGTGGGCGTGGGAAGGGAAAAAAGTCTTCCCTTCTTTTGTCCCGACCTCAACGTTCTCTATTCACAAATCGAGACGGCGCGGGCGCGAGGCGATCCAATCGTCGTCGCGCTTAACGCCGGCTATTCAACGGGAACGTTATTTTCCTACCGGCGCTGCCGACCTGCCGACGCGGGATCCCTCCCCCTCCCCCTCCCCCTCCCCCGCTCGCTGGATAATTAACGATCGCGAATCGCGATTGCAAGGTATTCCCGTCGCCGGACCCGCGCTGTCAATTAGCAGTTAATTATTGCGGTACAGAGGAAGAAAGAAGGAGCAGCGCGACTGAGCGATAGCGATCGATAACTCATAACTTACAACTCCCGACTGAACGACAACGTTAATCCCGACAAATGACACTAGCGCGGCTGGTAATATAATTATTGCGGTCGCTGAGCTGATACGGGATATTGCCCGTTTTGTGTGGTGTAATGCGAATGAAAACACGAGGTTGAACTGTCGCTTTTGCAGATTCCAGAAACGGCTCGGCGGAACTGGTCGACATGCCGGCTGGGACGGTGCCGAACCTGAGCGCCGTCGCGGGCACCGAGGACATGGCGTCCCTGTGGTACGCCATGGGTTTCAAGAAGACGCCACCGCCGGCCTCGTCGGCGACGCCCTCAAGATCGGATCGCGATCGAGAGTCCAGTCCACCCGGCGGCGAGGGGGCGGGAAGCGCCCACGACGAGACCAGCAGTAGCGGCAACAAAGAGGACGAAGACGACGACGATGAGGATGCCGATGAGAGGTTGGACCCGAGACACCATGACCCGGAACGCCTCAAGGCGTTCAACGTAAGTACACAAGTCGCGCTGCGCAACGCAGCGCGCGCGCCGCCGGCGCGGCGGATTGTCGCGCGAATCTCGCTTCGCGCAGCTCGGCCGGCTCGGAATTGGGAACAAACAATTGATCGCGCTCCAGGCTCTATTCGAGTTTTCTTTCTCAATTTCTTTTCTCAACCCATTGAAGGACCCGTGATTATCTCGGAGACTTTTTACGGAGATTTTTCATCAAAAAGCTAGACTGCTTGGACATTTCAGCTTGACATCAGACCGACTGATTGGATCTAGTTTGGTTTTTAAAAATGCGAAAGACGCTGGAAGGGTGAGAAATCAAGAAGAAAAAAGAAATGAAAACTGGAAGAGAAAAGAGTAAGAGGAACATTCCTCAGATCCGAGCCGATGGCAGCGGCTAGTGGGTTGAGAAATGATGGAAAATCATAAGCCGAAAGAGAGACAGCCGTTTCGCCGCGCGCGAGAAACGCGAGTCGGACGGCCGACTCGTCTGGACCCTCGTCGCCCATCCGCGAGACGCGCGACAACAGGTAGACAACGACGCTCGTAAACAAATTACGAGCCGCGCTCGCGGTTGCACGTCCAACCGGTCGCTTTATGCAACCGCCGCGGCCGGTGATCGCGCTGAAGAGAAGCGTCGTTCGCGCCTCGAGACGGCGAAAGGATCGCATGCGCGCGCGCTCTTCGAGCTCGGCTGCAGAAGTTAAGGCCGTCGTCATCGGCGCGGCGCAGCGCGGCGGGCTTTACCGAAAAACCCTAATTATCGTAAAGTTTTATGAGCGTGCGATGCGCCCGAGTGGCGGCTCGGCTCGGCCCGGAGGAAACGGCACCGTGCCGTTTCTCTCTTCCTCTCTCTCTCTCTCTCTCTTGCTTTTTCCTCCTCTCGTTTTCTCCGACAACCGCTCATACATCTCTCCTCTTTTTCCTCTCTTTCCCGCTCCTCTCGCCGCTCCCCGCCGCCTTCCCGGGCAGCGTTTTTTCCTCGTGAAAATCGAGCGAACGAGCGTCGCGAGCGCGCGCGGTCGCAGTCTCGCGGCGCGGCGCGGCGGCTGGCGCGGCTCCCCCGGCCGAGCTTCTTAATTAATTACAATTAGTTTAATAGAGCCCCGGTGTTGCGCCCCACTGCCGCTAAATTCTTAATTCCTCGGGCGGTTAGCGACTCGCGTACGACTCGACTACCGTACTTAATTCACTCTCGCTATAACGCGACCGCTGCTTGTCCCGTGGCAGATGTTCGTGAGGCTGTTCGTCGACGAAAATCTGGACCGCATTGTGCCAATATCGAAGCAGCCGAAAGAAAAAATCCAGGCGATCATCGACAGTTGCACGAGGCAGTTTCCGGAATTCGCCGAAAGGGCGAGGAAGAGGATCCGAACGTACCTGAAGAGCTGTCGGAGGAACAAGCGAGGAAGGGAGGGCGCTCCCTGGGATACCGTAAGTTACCGGCTGCTTCTTGTCGCGAGATTACGATTACGAGACGGTTTATTGAGCGTGTATTCGTGGGAAGAAGGAGGAAAAAAGTTAACAAGTGCGACACGAAATAAATCCCCTTTTTTTCCCGCGTGCCGCTTTCGCGACGAAAGCGTTTCTTTCAAAACGTCAACTTGTTTGAGAAAACTGTCCCTTCACGGTTCTCCCGTCGAGTCTCGCGCTTCCGTTTGACGTGTTTGACAGTTAATTTCTACAGCTAAATTGTGACGCATGCCACTCTAGTTATAAAGATATATAACCGAGCCGAGCAATTATTATCTCGGCATAACTCCCATGAGTCTTTTGTGTCGAGACGGTAACGCAATTTATAGCCCGACATTAGGCTGTATCGAGGAAGAAATGGCGATTGGACTTGAACGAACGTGTCCCTTGTAGAAACAATGTATCGTCACTTGCAACAAGTTTCAACTTTCTGTTCTCCTCCAAATACGCGTGAATTCTCAAGATGCCGAGGTTCTTGCGGAACTCGCAGTGCGGAGTCGCACGTGTCGCAAACGGCCGCTCGTATCGAGCTTCTCGCTCGTGGAAGCTCCTCGGTCTTTCAGAGGCGTTCTCGCGGCGGTATGCGCGACGACGAGTACGAGGACGTGACGTTACCGTTACGGTGTTTCTTTTTCAGGCGAGACCCACGCCGGCGCATTTAACGTCGGCACAAGCAGAGCAGATTTTAGCGTTTGCCTGCGAAAACGAGAGCGAAAACGCCAAGCGCATGAGACTCGGCCTCGAGCCAGTGTCGCAGCCGATGCCAACATTACCGGCGGCGACGGTGAGTAAAAAAAAGGAAAGCAGTAACCATAAGCGCATTCGACAAGCGAGGCTGCACTCTCGTCAAATTCCGCGTACGCAAACTGAAAGAAGTGCCACGCATCAGACGCGTCCCGAAAATCAGCAACATCAGTATAACAATTACACACAGCATTGGTACAACAATTACACGCAATACCAATATGAACAATCCCACCGTAGCAATTATGCACCGCAGACAACTAGTGACGGAACAGTTTATAACCAGCAGAGCAATTATGCACTGCAACAATTTGAACGATTTGTGCGTAGTGTAAGTGCACCACGCGCGTTACACATGTACAAACATATGAAAATAAGTGTGTCACTATCGAATCCCAAATACAAGAGACGCGGTGACGTAACAAGACGGTACATCCCTACTTTATGGAAAGTGCTTTAAATTCATCGTAAAGCAACGTAAGTATTTTTGCAATATATCGCGCGCTATCATTATGCCGTTTCCGTAAGTATTTTCGTTGCTTTCTTCCGTACGGGGAAAGTGTTGTGCAAAATTATAATAAAATTTTACGTTTGACAAACAATGCAATTTTGTTTCGATATATTATTTTAATTTTTTTTATGTTAAATTAAACTAATTTTAATTCTTAATTTTAATTTTTCATTCTTTTCTCTCAATTTTTTAAATTTTAAATTGTATTAACTTAAATTTTTGTTAGATTTTATTTTATCTTATCCTAATTTCTTATCTTTCCATTTATTTTATTTTTAATTTATCTTTCTGTTTTATATAAATTTTTTTTGTTTCCTCTTAATTTATGAATGTAAGTTTGCAAAATTTTTGTAAAATTTTTAAAAAATGCACAAATATAAGCACTGTACATATGAAAACGTGTGTATATACATGTATATATAGAAAATGTACATATTGCAAGGAGTAGTAATATTATCACGATATAATATTGTATATGAATTGTATATGAAAATATTAAGTAGTAATATTGTACAAAGGAATATGAAAAGGAAAAAAAACAGGAAAAAGGAAAAAATTGAAAAAATTGAAATTAAAATTTAGACTCAAAATTCATCACGATTCTTAGAAAAATTTATCATATTGCTTGATAGACTCTACACGCCGAATCTATTTCTCTCTTTGCTACGAACCATGGTAAAATTTCTTAAAGATGCATAAATGTGAGTAATGTACATATGAAAATGTACGTTTATATATACATGTATATGTAAAAATTGTACATATTGCAAGCAGCTGTAATATTATCAGGATGTAATATTGTATAGGAGAATATGAAGTAAAACTTTGCACACAGAAACATGAACCAAATTAAAGATGTATATATACATAAAAGCTGTACATAAGGGAATATATATATATATAATAATAATATATATATATATATATATATATTAGCTTCCCCTATATATATTTTGTATACATATACAAAATATGTATTTATATACAATGTGTATACATATATAGAGTATATATAGAGGAAGCTACAACATTTATATGTGGAATGAGAGATTGAGAGACACCCGCGACAACCTCGACACGACGTGTCCCAGAAGGAGTGCGAATTGCAAACGCAAGGTATAAGGAAACACATATGAATAGACGTAACTGGCGGAATTTCGTAAATAATTGGGAGGAAAATAAATAGCACGCTTGATTATGACGGCGAGATCCGACGTGACATGCGCGTCTGGCGTTTTATACGAATAGCTGACACAAATATTTTCCCTGAAAGTAGTAAATTAATATCTTTGTTCACACACAAGCGAGCTGGTAACCCCCTGAAAAAAAACATCGTTGGCGGTGTCGCAATTTCGCGGGCATCGGAAGCGTTAGCAGCGATAAGTGTTACGCAATAGGCGCGTGTGTACACACGCGCGCAGGCATATATGCTCGCAGAACGGTAACTTAGTCGGGTGTGTGTTGCGTTCGATTCCTCCCAACCTTCGTGAATGCAAACCTACGCACTACCTGATAATATTATTCCCAAGACATTGCTGTCATTTCTAAAACCTCAAAACACAGAAACGTCTGATGTTGTGGCCTTGAAACATTTTGGTCCTTTTGCGGTCCTACATCGAGTCTATGTCAATGTTGCATTCTAATAATACGCTCAATATTAATGTGTTACTGCAAATGCATTGATTGTTGCATTAGTTCAATATCGAAATATCGAAGTAACCGCGAACTCTGTGCGATATCGTGGCTAGTAAGTAAATGAATTCCTACGGGTCAGTCGAGCAGGAAAGTTGAAAACAATTCGGACCGTAAAGAGTAAGTCTAATTTTATCGTTCATTGTTAGTAGAATATCAGTAGTGCATTATTGTATGAGATATATTATATTTTTTATTATTATACAAATATTCGTTACGGTGTTTACAAAAGAGGCCGCCTATAAAGATGCCGTTCGCGTGTAGTAAGCGTGTTGTGCGTCAAGCATCTTCGCGACCGCCGTTTGCATTCTTAAAGATAATATAATATTAAACTACTGATATCCTACCAACAACAATATCGTGCAACATCTCATGTTGTAACAAAATTTTCTTACGTGTATACTGTCCCTATACTATAAGCACAAGTAGATAAGAAGGTTAAGGTCTCTCTGTGTATGTGTGGATAGATCGTACATCAGGCGAAACGGATGAATGAACAATCGAACGTGGAGGATGGGAACGCGAGGCGAGAGCGGGGCGGGGAAAAGTTTCGTTCGTAAGCGCGCGTGATTTTCGCGGCGTATTGTCGCGCGTGAAAACTCGAGGAGAGCTCCTGCGCAACGGTCGGCGATGAGATACATACGTGAACGGAGAGCTAGGATTGATATAGGTACCGCGAGAACGAGAGAGCGAGAGAAAAAGAGAGAAAGAGAGAGGCCGGTGATAACCCGCGGGTCGCGCACCTCTCCCACTCTGACGCAAGCGGCGCACATACAGATCGCGCGTGCAGCAGCCGGCTCGTGAAAACGGCCGCGCGTACGAAACGACGCAGGATATTCTCTTGGTAGAGAAATGCGGCGTAAAAGCCGCGTACGCGGCAAAGGACGAGTGGGAAAAAGACTCGCGGCGGACTTTTGCGAGCGCGCTTTCACGCGCCGAGCGAGGGCCACGCTGATCGCGCGACGTCGTTCTCGTCGCCGTCGCGTGATTAGCCTCGCGTATGCGCGTGTTTCGTCGTGCGTTACGTCAACGACGCGCGTAGTCGGCTTCGAATCCCGCGAGTCTCGGGGTCACGCATCGCCCGTTGCTTTCGCGAACGTGGAATCGACCGATTCATCTCTCGCGGGGGCCGTACACCGATCGTACACTCTTATTCTCGCGAGCACGAGAAAGAGACAGAGAGAGAGAGAGAGTTCGTACTCTCATATTGACGTCACGTCTAATCTCGTGGAACGAAAACACCGCCGATTCGACGAAACACTGTTTCACCGCGTCCTGCTAAGTCCGATCGACTTAATATTCGCCACTTATTGAATCGCGCGAGCGGGAAACCCGCGAACGCTTCGTCACGCGGGGTTCGTTGACCCCCTCCCCCTTTAAGAAGACAGCGCGGAAAAGCGGTAAGCGATCGCCTCCGTTATTTCGAGTGCGAGACGAGCAAGGTGCAGGCGGTAGCTGGGACCGTCCAGTTGCATACAATGCAGCACAGTGCTCGATGCATCTAATCCTCTTTCGGTCTCTCTTCCCGCCCCCCCTCTCCCCGTCGACCCAGCCGCGAGGTTCTTCCTCGATTCTCTTCGCGTCAAGTTCTTCCGTGAGTTCCGCACTTGGCGAACACACCGTCGCCGCGACACCGCCTTTTGTTCGTTCGTCCGTCTGTCCGTTGGTTTTTCTTCGTTCTACCTTCCCTTCCTCCCACATACCCACCGTCTCTCATCGTGTCTTACACGAGAGAGAAAGAGAGAGAGAGAGAGAGAGAGAGAGAGAGAGAGAGAGAGAGAGAGAGAGAGAGAGAGTAAACGAGAAGCTGAAGCGCGCGCGGCCTTCCATCGCCGGCTTGACTTATCTACTTTGAAAATCCCTGGTCGAGAAGGAGACGGAGAAACAGACAGAGAGAGACCCGATAACCTCTCCGGCGACCTAAACCTAACCCATTAAGGAGAAGACCTCTCTCGCTCTTCTTCTCCTTCTCTCTCTCTCTCTCTCTCTCTCTCTCTCTCTCTCTCTATCGTGCACGTCGAGGTTCGTGCGCGGCGGACGCGGCTATCTGCTCTCTTCGTGGCCACCTATATAATTGACGTCAACGCACACTGCTGGCCTTTCATAAAAACACCTCCCTACATCCGTTCTCCGCCGCTCGAAGATTTCATTCCTCCGTGCTCGCCGTGGCCGAGCCCTCCTCCCTCGCGATCCCCTGGCTCTCTTTCTTGCTCTCTTCTTATCCTCCTTCTCCTCCTCCTCCTTCTCCTTCTCCTCCTGCTCTGTCTCCGTCTCCGCTGCCGCCGCCGCCGCCGCCGCCGCCAACCCTCCGTGTGCGTCTCACTCGATCTTCTTCTTCGTCGAGCAAGTCATCCGTTTCTGTGGTGGAAACGCACATCACCACCTCTTGACTCGCTCATCTCGTGGTCCTCTTCTTCTTTCTTTCTTTCTCGTCCTCCTCTTCTCCGTATGTTCCTCCTCCTCCTCCTCCTCCTCCTCCTCCTTCTCCTCCTCCTCCTCCTCCTCCTTCTCCTCCTCCTTCTCCTCCTCCTCCTACACTTCCTCCCTTTCTACGAATTAATTTCCTCCCGCGAGCTTACTCACGCCTCGTCGTCTCGTCCCAGCGCATTCGAACGTTCCTCTCTTCTCGTTCCTGGCGTTCCTCCCTCGTGTCAACCGGCTTTTTCCTCACCCTCTGCCTCCCCTGTCCTTCACCCTGTCCTCCTCCTCCTTCTCCTTCTACGCTGCCGCCAATCGAGAGAGAACGTCTTCGCTCCTCCGGACCGCGCGCTCAAGTAGACGCGGACGTTATTGTTATCGTATCGATGCGTCGCCGGTAGGCAGGGTGGGGCGCGAACGTTGAAGTGGAAGAAGATCTAGAGAAGAAACAGAAGAGGAAGTCGAAGTGAAGAAACTCCCGGCGCGCGCTTTGTTCCGCTCGGTTGCTCGCGGCGACGGCGACGGCGACGGCGACGGCGACGCCGACGGCGGCGGTGAATACGATCGGTGCTCGATGATCGGGATCGTGTTGATAACGAGAGAGATCGCGGATAGACGATATGATAGAGGCTCGATTAGCTCGTGTCGGAATGATCATTCGTGGCCGGGCCGATGATCGATAGTTCGTAAGGTGATCGATAGTGCCGCGGGTGCGGTTGCTGTTTGCTGTTGTTCGGTGACACGTGCCTCCGAGACCTCGCCTTGGCTACCGTCCGTTGTATCAATCATGAGGAAAAAGAATCTCCGGGTCGTTCACAAGCAGGTGTACGATCGCGATCAGGTTCAGCAGGTACCGTTTATCGCGGCGATCAGCACACGCGCGCGCGCGCGCGCGATCACTCTTCAACATCCAAACATCGGGCATACTAAAGTTCGCGTCGTTAACGTCGCTTTTCAACAGCCCGCGGGTTACTCTTACGGCAGGGTCTAGTTTCTCGACTGCATCGTTGTCTGGGGTCACAGAGAGAGAGAGAGAGAGAGAGAGAGAGAGAGAGAGAGAGAGAGAGAGAATCTCATTGCGAAATATGCAGTGCATGACGCTATAAAAAGCGTCGAGGCGACCTTTTTGGCGCGGGCTGAAATAATAATTACTCTGAAGTTTTCCATTTTCGATCGGCATTAAGCCGAAACTGGGTCGGACGCTCAGAAAAATGTAAAGCGACTGATAACCGATCTCTCTCTCTCTCTCTCTCTCTCTCTCTCTCTCTCTCTCTCTTTCTCTGTCTTTGCCGGAGGAATTTCGCGAGCTCGTCGCGAACAACGGGCCGATATGATTACGATTACGTTACCGGCGTAAAAAAATGGACCCTCCCCGCGACTCTCTCTCGCTCTCGCGTAAAACTCACGAATCGTATTAGAACGCTTCGTCTGCGTGTTTCTCGTTAATCGCGACACACACGTGCTTCGAGTTGATAGCGAGTAAAACTGATCGATGATTGAGGGAGAGAAAGATAAGGAGCCCGAGAGCGCTAGAGAGAGAGAGAGAGAGAGAGAGAGAGAGAGAGAGAGAGAGAGAGAGAGAGAGAGAGAGAGAGAGACAAGATGTACGATCTTTCCACGAGAATGAGATGCGAGCGTTCGCGCGATTCTAACGTCGATGCTCGTCAATTTTAGCAAACGGACGTTCGCTCGAACATGGACCACTTCTCAAGCACATCGGTTAAGGCACTTCCGGGCAAGAGGGAGGACACACCACCGGCATCCCTAACGTCCCTGACACCGCTAACCAGTTTGGCGAACATGCCGAGCAGTACCCTCTCCACCACGCCGCTGTCGCTCGCATCCGCGTCCAAGTTACTCACACCGACGGACAACAAGGGTCTCATGAGGTCAGTACGATGAACTACTTAGTTACGCAGACGCCGGATGAAATCTGCGCGTTTTCTCTCGCTGGCGACGTGTACCCGGAGTCCGCACGAGCGCACGAGATACGTCGCTCCCATTCGCGAGATCGTTTCGCAATCCTCGTGCGCGCGTGTGTCCGCGCGGCCCGATGTCGTCAAGGCCGATTCGGCTCGGCGGACGGCAGGCGAGAGAGGCGCAGAAATAAACCTTCCTTCGGATCGAATATTCCGCTCCTCGTGACGAATCTTGTCACGTTTACGTGCCGCCTCTCCCGCCTCTCCTGCCTCTTTCTTCTCTTCTCGAAGAAGAGTCCGCAAGAAGAGTCGCGCGGGCGATTACAATTAACTGAATTCCGACCCAATTTACTACGCGCGCGCGCGCGCGCAACCGCGCCGATTATCGCTGTTGGATTCGTCGAGAGATTCCCGCCGTCGGATCGGGCGAGAGTTCCAGATAAAAGGCCTCGGCCGGTCAAAGGCCACGGCACAAAAATTCACCGGGCGTCTCGAGAAGCGGGTACGCATTCTCAACGGTGCGAGAAAAAAGAGAGAGAGAGAGAGAGAGAGAGAGAGAGGGAGAGGAGAGCTGTACTACTAATATCGCGACGCACGCGGTTCTCTTATCACTAATTCGCATCTCATTCTCGTTTTTCAGCCAAACGACGATAGTCAGCTCGTCGGCGGTGAATGGTGTTGCCAGCGGCGGTGCGCCTACCGCGATGTATAGACCGAACTTCAGCCAGGCCTTCCAACGCGCCGGGCCCACATCGGTGCCGCCGACCCTCTCCGCCGGACTGTACCCAACCCAGAGCTTCACGTCGGGTCTACTGAGCAACGGTACACCAAGTAATACCTGGTTATTGGTGTCCTTCTAAGTTTGCTTCTTTCGCGTCGTTTTCTCTCCTGATTATCCTCAGTTGCGAGCACGTTTAATCGCCGAGTCGAGATCACTCGCGGACCCTTCGCAAGCGCTTTTCGTTCTCCAGAATCTCCCGATCCTCGCAAATGAACTTGCCTCATTAGTGGGATAGTTCGCTTAATACGATTTTTTTAAGAACCGCCCGCCTGTAATTTTTTCTGTCTCGCGGTGGTTACAACGTTCCGGGTCAATGACGCGATTGATGTGCGGCTTTCGATGACGTTCGCGTGAGAGGAGAATTTTTGCGCGATATCGGACGCATGCATGCTGCTGATGATGAGTGACAGAGAGAGAGACAGAGAGAGAGAGAGAGAGAGAGAGAGAGAGAGAGAGAGAGAGAGAGAGAGAGAGTGGGAGGGCAAGAGAAGAAGAATCATCGCGATCAGTGTGATTAATGATGAACTTGTGTTGCGTTTTGTAGGACCGACGGATCTCAGTATGAAGAACACTAAACCGCTGCTAAGTCACAAATTAAACGCGACGGAGATGACCGCGGTGAAGCAGCTTATTACTGGATATCGGGAGTCCGCGGCCTTCTTGCTCAGGTCCGCCGACGAGCTGGAACAATTGTTGCTGCAGCAACCATAGAGCTACATTTACATCGCCGGCGCTTCACAGCTTGGTTCGTCGTAGACACAGCGACCAAGAGAGGACGGAGAGAGAAGGAGGGAGGGAGGGAGGGAGGGGGAGAGAGAGAGAGAGAGAGAGAGAGAGAGAGAGAGAGAGAGAGAGAGAGAGAGAGAGAGGAGGGACGGAGAGAGAGAGAGAGAGAGAGAGAAAGCGAGAAAAGGAGAAATATCGCGAGCTTGGCTTGGCACTGTTTCACGACCGTTGTTGGTGCCGTTCGAGAGTAGCCAATCGTGGATTCAACGATGAATTCGCAAGACGACGTTTCGTTCGCACGCATCTCGGCGCTATCCGACTGTCGGCAACATGGCTCTCTTCGTCGACTTATCCTTATACTAGCCGCGAAATGGTCCATTTCGGCGAGTCGCGGCACGCGGCGATCGAATTGACGATAACGCTAGATAACGATAGCTACCTAATGACGGACCAGACCGTATTCACCAACGAGAGTTTTCGAGTAACCGCTCGGAATCGTTTACAACGTTGCCTGCCTCGTAGCGAGTTCACGAGGAGATTGTTCCTCGACGAAAAGTCGGCGCGGCGGACGTGAAAAAACGCTGACATCGCTACGAAAGGGACTGAGGTAGAGGGGACAAAGGTACAAGAGCCCGGTGGTAGTGCGATTCATTTAACGCGGAATCTTTCTATATTGTTAACATATTTTGGCTGGAAACGCCAAGAAAACCAGTTCCATAAATATATAATAAATAATTGCGTATTTCATTATCGCGCGTCGCCCCGACGTTTCTAATTCTAGGCTTAAGAAAACTATTCGACAGGGTGTACATAAAGATGAACAATGAGATATTTACTTAATTACTGGTAAGCTTAAAGAACGATGCGGCGAGTGCGATTGCGCGCAAACGCGAACCATAGGTAAGGTGAGAAGACACAGAGCCCGGAGGAGATAACGGATATATAATTGTCATCGTTCTCTCTCTCGAAAACGCACGCTGAATATTTTCTAACGAGACGCGAGAGAACATCCTGCGCTTGCAACTTTTTCCTATTCTGACTCGTAAGCTTCGCGAAGAATAAACAACCGCTCTTCTCGCGGCGCGTTGTCGTGAGTCCAGTTCGCAATTGCAAGTCGCGTTGTTTCGATACGGTCGATGAAGAGCCGTCACGTGTTCTTACGAGATACTAAAATTTCGCTAAAAATCTGTCTGTTGTTATGTACATATTACGTGAATTATATATATATACATATATATATATATATATATGTGTGTGTGTGTGTATGTATGTATATATATATGTGTGTGTGTATATGTATACATAATATATATACTCCCGTGCGAGAATGTGTTTTGATGTTCCTCGAAAGAGTACTCGAGTGAATCGTGCCATTTGTGTCGAGAGTGGGTGCGAACAAAATTTTTGAAAAATTTATTAAATATCCGGTGTAAACAGGACGGCACGATGTGACATGCACATGTATATATTTACGTTTATATGTATATGTTTACGAACATACATATATGTATGTAATACACATGTACACACATCCGACTTTTTATGCCAATTTTCGGAATTTATCTTTCGCCACTTTCGCAGTGAACTGTTCGGTTCGGGAGGATTCTACGAGGAGGAGGATTACATGTACATACGAGTAAGATGCATTCGCGCATCGATACACGTGTACATAGAAAGGACATAGGTCGCGGGACAAGATGGATTTTTGTAACGGCGACGGATCGGGTCGGGTCGCGTCGCGTCGCGTTGCTTCGCGTCGCGTCCCGTTCGACGAGATTTCGCAACCAAGGGACTCTTCGTCGGAGGAAGTGATTGATTAATTAATTGATTAATTAATTGATTAACGATAATTGTGTACAACGCGTTAATATAGTCATACCGAGGTTGTGTCTCGGAGGCGAGGAAGGGATTAGTGAGTCGGGAGTATAATTTCGGGACCATCTTGTCACGATCGGACAATACGTTGCAACCGTATTCGTGGTCTCCGGACGCAGCATTGTGTTACCAAAGAACACTAATTATTATCGGTAATATTGTAGGCGTAGCGCAGTAAGAATCGCGTTTCTTCTTCTTCTTTTTTTTTTTCTTTTTTCAATTTCGTTATATCTTAAGATGCGTTCACCTCTCGCGAAGATCGTGAATTTATTTTCTCCGTCAGCTAATCGTACGAGGATACATACAAGATCGCGAAGATTTACGTGATAATTGTATATATCTGATGATGTAAGTACGTTTAATATTATTATTATTATTATTATTATATTATTATTATTATTATTGTATTATGTTTATCATATATTATCCACGTCGTCATGTTTAATAATTATTACATTTTTCTCATTATTATCGTCTTCGTCGTCATTATCGTCGAAATTCTCAGATCGTCAGATAAATAAAATAATCTCTACGAATCGATTCCTGCGAATCGGGGAAACGAGAAGACGGAGCGAGACACACATCTCGCCCCGTCTTCCAACCCCATTTTCCATGGAAAGTTTTCGCTCGTTAAGTCTATTCTGTCGTTGTTTTGTACATAGTTTATACACACTGTCGGAATGCATATATAGATTACGGTTATTAAGTTGCTTAAGTAACTAGATGCAAGACGAAAGAGTACGTATAAATATATAATGTAAATGTAAAATATGTTTATGCGTATGATTGCCGGTTGCTGTCACCGTCGAACTTCGAGTGCAGAACATTCCATTTTTCCAATGGGAGATATAAGCGAGCGGAAAAGTACATAGGGAAAAAGAAAGACGAACGAGGCGAAAAAAAATATAGAGAATTTTATTAGAGAGCGAAAGAGAGAAGAAATCGAGAGAGGGAGAGACTGGAAGAGAGAAAGATATGAAATGAGAGTGTGAGGATGAGGGTGTGAATGTGTGTGTGTGTGTGTGTGTGTTTATGTTTGTGAACGTACGCATGTATGTGTTTGTGAGTGTATGCATGTGTGTGCGTATGCGATCACAGGTGAATGTGAACATGCGCTCATTGGAGATTTTACAGGAGTCACGACTTTTTATCGTCACGACAAACGCGAAAGAAAGGTCGTACTTCCTTTTTCCTTTCCCGTTTCTGCGATCGATTTCGCCAATAATGTTTTGCGTCATTTTAGTGAGAATACCGAATAAATCTTTTGGTCATTTGAAACTAATTCTTATCTCTTCAATTTATTCTTTTCTTTTTCTTCAAGCTCAAGTACACTCTTTGCGACAGATATACCGCCACACATATACAAATTCACACGCGCGCCGAATACGATTTTCCGCTCCCGTTTCATGATAATCCGAACACGGTTTTTAATCAGGTACACAGGTGTATACACACACACACACACACACACACACACGCAAACAGTGCAATAGTCTAAATAGCGATTATCATCGCTCTATCGTGTATTGTCAGTCACGATGATGCTTCTGTATGATGCACGACGTAAATATCCCCTCAGCTCAGTCACTCCCGTTCCCCCCCGCCGATCTCCGTTCCGCCCTGCTGGAACCCTGTCGGTTTCGAGCGGGCGTCACACGTACGCACTTCTTCACGAATGTAGACAGTTTGTATCGACAGCTCATATCGTATCTTACCGCTAGCATTGTAATATTTACGCGTAGTCCATCTCGGATCAATAGCCTGCTCACGCGCGCGCGAGGACCGAGCCTCCTCGCCTTTTACTACATGTTCTCTCCTCCCCCACCTGCCCCTCTAACCGCCCACACTCATCCCACGAAGCATCCCGTTGAATTCTGTGCTAGCTATAAAATGTTGGCTAGGCGCGTTCCGCTGATTAACGATCACTTACGATTAAGCCTAAACGCGGTATACTACAGTTCGTGGGTTTCTTCGAGGATTTTTGTTCTCGAGGGGAAATCAATTGTATCGCAAACTTGCCACATTCTGTCTCTCGCGATCTCACGAGGATCGGATCGGATCGGATCGATGTCGCGTGCACGCTTTTCTCGGCGGAAACCCAGGACCCACGATCTCGCACATCCGAAGCACGGAGTAAAAGGAAAAGGGAAAGACGAAGGGAGACGAGATAGAGGAGCGGTTCATCACGGCTCCATCATGGCCGTGGAAGCGTCGCGACACTAGTACTCTGTTCCTCCGTTTTTTTCCTACGTTCGATAAAAGAAGCGTCCGTCGTACCTTGATTTTTTGCCTACGCTGCGGGAGAAACGCGGATCCGCCGCGTTCGTATAGTCGCGGAAGAATCGATGTACATTGACCGCGGAAAGAAAGAAAGAAAGAAAGAAAGAAAGAAAGAAAGAAAGAAAGAGGGAAGAAGAGACGAGAAAAAAAGAAAAAAAAAAGATAAATGAATATGTATTTGTTCCTGAAGAAAAAGAATCTAATGAGTGAGTAGTGATATAAAACCGTAAAAGGAGGGAGAAGAGGAAAAGCTAATTATTAATATCGATAGTAAACGATAACGATATAATTTGATGGTACATACTTTCTTATAAGTAACATTATACACATTACTACGATTATATTGTAGAGTTGGTACGGTTCTTGAGGATGCCTTGCCTGTAAATGTAACACACGTTGAATGACAAAAAAAATCTTATTACCTTGTAAATGTTTTACCAAATATAATCGATTATTCAACTTATACTTCGGCGCCTGTGGTCCTTTTAATTGTTCACCGTGTTTTCTCTCCCTTTCCTCTTTCCTTCTCTTTCTCATTCTCTCTCTCTCTCTCTCTCTCTCCCCTTTCTCTCCCTTTCCACCGTTAAACCGTACCGAGAAACGTACCCGGTCGAAAAATTTATGACACTCCTCTCCTTTTTCCTTCTTCGCTTCTTTGTCTTCCCCTTGCTCTTCCCCCCCCCCTCTCTCTCTTTTCTTTTTACTTCTCTCCGTCTCTCTCCTTTTTTTGTTTTCGAGGTTGGCCTTCCCGGAGTGATTAACGTCAACCGAGAGATCGCCGTAAACCCGCGGCCCGCCGCGATCATAAATATTCGGCCGCGCGCATAATATCGCATGCGCGGCGCCTTTAAGCGCGCGACGAGCCCGATAATGTATTATACGCGCGTACCTACGTATCGGACGCGAAATGGAAAGTCGAATAAACGCCGCGGCGAGACCGCGATCTCGGCCGTATTGCGACAGAGCGTGAACCCGCTCTCGCGACGCTACGCAATGCGTGGTGAGAGCGCAAAAAAACTTACCCCGCCCGGCCCCGCGTGTTCGACTTCGCCGCGCGCATCGTCTTGTGTACGTCGAATAAAGCAACCCCGCGTCGCCACATCGCTCATCCGGCGGCGCGAGGAATAACAGTCGTCGCGCCGTGATTACGAGGATCACGGGGTTCGTTTGATCGTGGGGATCATTTAACAATCGCCTCATCTTCTAACCGATCGTACACGACTTCAGAGAGCCTGATTACGCAACAGAGAGATAACATAATACGCGTAATATCGAGACCGAGGCGGAGTCTTTTTATGAGTCAATTAATTGGCGCGTTGGAAAGAAACTAATTACACCTGTCGCAGAAGCAACACTGAATCATCGCGGGTGCTGCATCGGGACGAAAAAGGTAATAATAAATATTCCGTGGAAACATCAATATTAATAAGCACGACGACGAGGACTCGTGATTTCTTCTGGCGATTAACATCGCGCGTTATTACGATCGCCAGAAACGATACGGGCAGAATCAGCCGGGCGCAGGTTTCTCGCAGCTTTCCCAGCTCTTCGCGAGGACGTCGAAGACGAGAGTCCGCGAGAGATCTCGGGCGCGATCGCAAGCGGACACGGCCGGTCGTTCGGCGGGAAATTACGCTCTCGGGAAATGGATCTTGACCAAAAGCTCGTCCTACTTCGCGACGTCAAGTCCCGCGTAAGGTGCGCGTCGCATTCGCAAACGCATTCGCGGATCGATCCGCGGGTTCTCTCTCTCTCTCTCTCTCTCTTCCCCCTCCCTCTCTCTCTTCCCCTCTCCCTCTCTCTCTCTCTCTCTCTCTCTCTCTCTCTCTCTCTCTCTCTCCTTCACGAGACAAGGGATATCGCGCAGGGGCTCGTTTCCTCGCTGCGGAGTCGTAAAGTCGTTTCCTCCGCCGGGCCCTCCGGAGTAACGTTTATCGGCCGGCAATGCATCACGAGCTTTACGAAGGCCTTTGCATTCGAATGGCCCGCGGGTTTCAGAAGAACGCTGCGATTTCGCTGTAAGACGAGCAGCTCGGCTCGGCACGTATGCGCACACGCGCGCGCGCGCGCGTACATGCGTGCGTGCGTGCGTGCGTGCGTACTTGGCGCACGCATATCCCCCTGTGCGCGTTAGGCCCTTTTCACGCTTCGACCGCTTCGCCTCATTTCGCTCGCGGTGTCGTCGCTCTTTGTCTCGCGAGGAGGGACGCGCCCGAGGAAGAGATTACGTCGCGCGTTGGCGAGAGCGCGCTTTCGGAATTTCGATTGTATCTCTATTCTCCATTCTATTCTATCCCATCTTATCGCGTTCCATTCTCTATTCTATCCGATTATATATATTCTTTACTATTCCGCTCCACATCCGCGAATTACGTCGCGCTCGGCGGCCCTGCGCTGCTGTTACGCTCGCGTGTGCATTCTTTTTCTCCCTTTCCCACCAATATGTAATTTTTCTCACGATGGACTTTTCTCAGGCGGACTTTCAGTTCGATTTCCTCGACTCGGCCCGGCCCTAGGGTTAACTATATGTTGAGAGACCTCGAGCATATCCACGATGATGTCCATGACGTCGTAACATTGCCTAAGTGGAACGTTCGTACCACGACGGGCTCGTATAATTAAGTCGCTCGGGGGAACCGCGCAACGCGTCTTAAGATTCACGCACGATCGCGGTCGCGGGCGCGTTACATTCGCGCACCGCTCGTTATCGCGCGTACTCAACCCTGAAGAGGCGGACCGTGCGTCGTGGTCGTCGTCGTTGTCGTCGTCGTCGTCGGGGTCAGTGTGTTTTCTATGAGCGTTAAGAGCACACCGCGCCGGTGCGAAAGAGGACATATACGCACCACGCTCGTAGTCTGCCCATGTGCGAGAACGTGTGTGTGTGTGTGTGTGCGTGTGTGTATGTGTGCGCGCGCCACGCACCATCCAGTATAGAAACGTATTCCACGCGTCGCGGTACGCGCGCGCGTAGCCAACGAAACGGCACGTAACACACTCGTCGTCCTCGGTTGGTATCTACCGGGCGTGGTGCGCGCGACCATAACGGATGTCTTTGTAGCAATAATTCCTTTCTCACGCGCCGGCAGGATCTCTCAGCGAGATCGTCTCCGCCGGGCCGTAGGACGGTCGGGGAATGATAACTGCGAGAGCGTGTCTCGTCCTGTTGGCCGACTCTCGAGGCGAGCGACGCCGCGGCTTGCGACGAGCGCGAAGGATACAACTTTGTCGCGCACGTACTCTCGAGGGGCAAGATTGTAAACGGCAGAGAAAGAGAGGAAGAGAGGGAAAGTGTACCTGGCGGGATGCATCTTCGGAGAAGGTTCCAGGAAAAATTATGTTACGCCGTATAACGTAGTTGTTTATGCTTTATCAGGGAAATACTTTACACGTACACGTTTTCTCGAGGGAAAATTCGTGCGGCAGATTGATAAGAGAGAGAGAGAGAGAGAGAGAGAGAGAGAGAGAGAGGGAATCGACCAATTTTTGTCGAATCAAGTCGCTCGCATATTTTTTATATGTTTAGCGTAACAGAACGAGACACGATACACGTAATCTGAAAGTTGCGCAGGATCGTTTCATCGAAAGAAAGTTACGCGATCGCGTGGGCGAACGAACGTTCTCACACCGCCGCGTTTGCGCGCGGGCAAGTAATTTTCGATAAATTTAATTGGCCACGGTAACTTTGTGCGGGCAACGGGCCCGTAATGAATCATCTAATTAACGTTTATTATCAATCTCGTTTTCATAGGCCCCGTTTATATTTTACGACCGACGAGATATCCGCGGGGATTCCCGTAACGAGTGTACTCATTAAAAACAAGAAATACTCGCGCATTATGTGCGATTAATTGATTAATTAATATTTATAACGAGACTCGCTTTCGCGACACGCCTACGCCGCCAGCCGACCGGCCAGGTCGATAAGTTATCGCGGAATAATTACACCAACTGGTTAACGAGTATTGAGATAATAACGATACGTTGCGCGACGACGAAAGTTCGTCGCGTGGAGACGAATTGTACGTGTGCGTGTGCGTGTGTGTGTGTGTGTGTGTGTGTGCTTATGCGCGAATTCGCAAATCGTTTTCTCACAACTTTTTTTTACCCTCCCCCTCGTCCCCGTCGTGGACGGATTTGTTTTAATTTCTCAATTTGTCGCGAGGCGCGATTCGACTCGGCGGCGGCGGCGGCGGCGGTTTCGAGAATACCTCAACCTCGCGCCCGCGTGTCGACGTCCTGCGTATACGTACACGAGTGTGCGCGCGTGTTGATACGGACGTCCAGCACGCAGCATACGCATAGGTTAGGTGCGCGCGTTTCCACTCTTTTGCTGTGTGTTCCGCGATCTTCGCTCCCAGGTGCGACTAATGATATCGCCGCGCTTCCGTTGCGCTCGGCGCGGCCTCGGGCGACTCCACCGGAGTCTCGCGTGATTCTAATGCGCTCTCCGCGAGATGGCTCGTTTTACCTAAATAGCCCGGTTTTCTCGGGGAAATAGAAGAACACGATCCTAAGGAGTGTTAAATTTCTTTTCGCGGAGCGTAGCGAAGGTAGCCGTTCGTGATCTGAATTGGTTGCGTGTACACGTACGCGCGCGTGCGAGCGAGCGAGAGAGGGAGGGGAGCGGGGCATCCGTGCGAGGAGGGAAACAGGAGGAATCCCAAGGCGGACCTCGCGGTGGGACGATTTTATTACGCCGTCGCGGCAGTTTGTCCCGTCGCTGGCTTTTAATTTAAGGTAAATAATTTTCGTGGTCGATAATTCACGTCGCAGCGAGAGATCGCCGGCAATCCGTTCGAGAACCGGTCGGAAGGGAGGGAGACGGGGAGAAAAAGAGAGAGAGAGAGAGAGAGAGAGAGAGAGAGAGGGAGAAGAAGAGAAACAACGTCGCGAATAATTAACGACGCGCGGGATTACGAGGAACGAGGCAGAAACGGAAATAAGGAAAATATCACAGCGACGAGGGAGAGACGGACAGAGAGAGACAGAGAGAGAGAGAGAGAGAGAGAGAGAGAAAGAGAGAGGGGAAAGAAGAAGGAAATGGCAAAGGGACGAAAGGGCTGCGCGTCTCCTCTCTTCCGAGACTTCAATCGCGTCTGCCGAAGGCGATGAACTTCGGTGACGTCGCGCGCTGCGTCGGCCGAACGGCCGTCACCAATTACACTAATTACGACTTCCAATGGACGTGCGTGTCGCGCTAACCGAAAGACGAAACCGCTTATTAAACGCGGCTTTAATGCCTCGCGCGCCGCCCGGTAATGCGTCTCTTCGCATCGTCGTGATCGCTCGCTCGCGTCCGCGCCGCCGCCGCGGGCGAAAAGACGCGTTACTCGCCCTCGCGGGACCCCGGCCGCGGCGAGGTCTCCGCCAGGGTCATTCGATTCAAAGGAAGGTCACACCTCAAGGTCATCGAGCCGGGTGAGACGGCGATTATGAAGCGGCGAATCCGTGCGCGAGAGTTCGCGCGCAGTCGGTTACACACACGCCGGACTCGCTTTCGTTTAACAGCCGGGTAGCGAGTATCTCTCGGAGCCGCCGTATCTCTTCCTTCCTTCCTTCCTTCCTTCTCTCTCCTCCCTCGAGGAGTCCCTGTGAATTATCTAAAATTATCTAATGGCGCAACCGCACGCGAATTTCGAACGCGCGGTTTTCGCTCACGTACCGTCGCGCCGTGCGCGTTCGAGAAACTCGTACCGTTCTTCCCTCCCTCCCTCCCTCCCCCCCGCCCCTTCCTGCCTTCTTTTCCTGACTGCCCAGCGTCTTCTTCCCCCCCCTCCCCGCTTTCCGCGGCTATTAATCACAAACCGAGAAGAAACCGAGGATTCTTTCGATCCCGGCAAACGTGATTTATAATGCCCGCGCACCGTTACCTTCGATTTCCGCGAAAGAATCCTTCGGCCCGCTCGGGCCCGAGCAGAGTCGAAATTAACGGGCAATTAACGGCCGGTAAATTTCGCGACACCGAGCGGCGAACTTTCACCCAGTATCGGGGCAGGGATCAACGCCCTAACGAGGAACACGTCGCCGGGATTTCCGCGTTCGGCCCATCGGCGCTTCTTCATCGATACGAGGCGGACTCGAATCAACGACGTTGCATCCGTGATATCCTCCGGGGTGCTCGCGCGTGCGCAGAGGAGGGCCGCGTATTTAATATCGATCGTAACAATAATGTGCTCTTTATTAACGAGGCTGCCGGTTTGACTCGTTAGAAATCGAGCGCGCACGGCTCGAGAGACGCGCGCGCGCGCGCGCGCGATTAGAGCCGCCTCGCGGAGATTTGAATGAAGCCGCGATAAATAGCGCGCCACGCCCGCGGCGCGCGCTTTTTGTTGCAATCAGAAGCCGACGAATTTATTTTGCTGCACGACGCGCCGCGCCGGTGCCGGCTCGGGGCAGCTCGCGCGCCGCGTAAAGCTATGGTAGTCGGCTCATTAATCGTCCGTCGTAGTCGTAATAAGCCCTTAATCTTCGCGCGAGACCGCTACCTGTGAGTAACTGCTTATCCAGAGGCGTCGTGAGCCACGGGAATCTCGAATATCCCGCGAGAATCGCCGCGTCCTTGCGCGCGGAGGGAGCGCGCACGAGGAAGGGCACGCGTGTCCCGGCCGGGTAACTAATCGTGGTAATTAATCCGCTTAATAAATAAAATTCCCGCGGGACCAGTCACGTCGGGACTCTCACGGGGTCGCGCGCGCGCTCGAACTTACCTTTGAGGTCCTCGATGCCTCGACGAAGGACTGCGACCACCGGCAAGACGACGGGCTCCTCGTCCTGAAAGAAAGAGAGAACAAGAGGGATACAGTCAGTCTCTGAAGATATATCCTCCTCAAAAGTTCGTTTCTCTCTCTCTCTCTCTCTCTCTCTCTCTCTCTCTCTCTCTCGGTCCCACGGCTCTTATTAAAATACGTAGTTAGTTGAGAAGTCGGTGACAATCAACAGCCTCGCCATGTTCGGAAAATTCACCAACTCGATGTTTCTCGAGGAAGTGTCCAACGGACGAGAGACAGAGAGAGAGAGAGAGAGAGAGAGAGAGAGAGAGAGAGAGCGAGTGGGAGGCGACGACGGAGGAAGGCGACGAGAGTCCGATAATTAAAACATGAGACGCGCGGACGAGCTCTTATCGGGACAGATCGAGATCGTAATTCCGCTCTCGGAGGGTTAATTGCAGATCAATCACGAGCGATTTTTCGCGAGCGAGATTGCATCGACGTATAGGGGCGCGGGCCGGGAAATGCGCGGCGCGCCCGACAAATGAGATTAATCGCCGCCGAATACGGACGGGTTATTGCACTCGCAATTAGAGCCCGTTAATACAGCACCGGAGGCAAATCGTTTCGCGCTCGGCGGAATGTGAAAGTAGATAAGTCGCGACTGCTCGTGTAGCCGCGCTGCCGATCTCGACGGCGGCGAGCGCACGGTCGGACCTCATTATCGGTTTCCGGACTTAATTGAGATTAGTTTCGTTAACGGATCGCGGATGCCGAGCAGTTCCGCAAACCGATCCGCCGTCCCGCGCAAATGTCATTATCATGATCAACCGCCAGGCGGCGCAGAGCGCGCCAATTAAAATACTGCCTCCAAACTGGACGCACGGCGCACTTTTTCAACGTCCCGCTCTAATCTCGATCAATAAATATCGATAAGATCGGCCGATAGCGCGTTACACGCGTTCTCGAGCTTTCTTTCTCTTATCTTTACAAGCGAGCCACCTCACGTCCGCCGCGCGTCTATGACTTCATTCCAGGAGTAATAATTCAAACGCTTATCACAGACGTAACCTGATTAGCTAATGACGCGCTATCGAGAGAGGAAGCAGAAGAGACGAGGAGATGAAGGAGAGGGAAATGCATATATATCGCGCGCGCGCGTCGGAAAGAGCAATTTTCCTCGCGAAAGCGAGCGAAACTCGCGCGGCCCACGCGAGCGTCCCTCACGTACGCGCGCAGGCACATCCACACACGGACGCGAGTTATTTATACCGTCATGCAACGCGGAAAAATCTCGAGATACTTTCTATCGTCGTGCACACGTCGGAAAAGTCGATGTCGTATATTAGACGGCGCGGCGCGGCGCGGCGCGGCGCGGCGCGGCGCAGCGCCTCGCGCGATGGCGTGACTCCAGTCCGCGCTATCACGTGGCAACCTCGGCACGTGCATTATCGCCGATTAATAAGCCCTACGTTCTAAGAAAGCACCTCGGGGTTACGTATTTATCCGACATGCATCCCGCGTTCGTGGATCATCCGCGCAGCGCGAGGGGCAGGGCGGGGGAGGGTGATGCCCCGGTCCTTGGCATCGCGCGTGCGCGTCTCTCACGTGAGAGCGCGGCCGCGATCGCGGAACTCGCGCAGCGATTTCGACTTCTTTTCGGTGATCCCTCGACCGTGCACGCGGCAATTTTTCCGTCCGCTGATTACAAATGTCCATTTCGTCGCGCGCGCGCGCCGAGTTGCGCCAGACGAGGGAAACGCGCGACGTCATGACGTTCGGCGGTAAAACGCGAGGTAAAACGCGAGTCGTAATAGGCGCCGCTGCAAGAGAGAGTTAATGTTTATAATAAATTCGACACACACAGGGTTATTTGCAAACACACACGTCGCGCGTGTCTTCCCTTTCAGAAACGCGAAACGTGTTACTCGTAATGTACATGTTGGAGCAAAACTCCTCCTTCCCGTGTATTTCCCCGAAACAAGTCGAAGAGCACAGCCTGACGGACTCTCTTCTTCTCCCTCCTTCTGGAAAAAGATTTCTGCCGACGGACACGCGCGTTTTATCTTGTCCTATCTGTCCGACTGGTACGCGCACGCGTTGAAACTTCGTTTCGAAATTCCATTTCTCGTCGAAACGAAAATCATAATTCACGCTTCGCGAAAATCGTAATTCACGCCTTGCGAAGAATGAAAAAGGCAGAGAGAGAGAGAGAGAGAGAGAGAGAGAGAGAGAGAGAGGGGGGGGAGGGGGAGGCCGACGCCGGAGTTTCGCGGCCGTCCGCGTCCGTCGTCGTAAATCACGGCGACCGATTCCCGAAGAGACCCTTAGCGCGCATCGCGCGCGCGCGGTTCGACCTTCTCGCACGCTCCCTCGTCGAGGGCTCGGCGAAATAATCGACCACGTTCCATGTACGACGGCGGCGGTGGTGGCTCTTTGGGCGGGGTGAGCGCGCACTGTACAGTTAGGATTTCGAAGAGGCGAAGAACATAATGAGAGAAACGTGCTGCCCTTTGACCCGCGAGAGCCGCGCCGTGCTCGGCTGTGCACCCTCGCCGTATATTCGCGCCGGGACGAAATCCTCGTTACGCGATACAGATAGCCGAGGAGGATCCGCTCTCTTTCTCTCTCTCTCTCTCTCTCTCTCTCTCTCCCTCTCTCTCGAGGAGTCAGGGGTAATCGCGACGACGTGGAACCTCCAAGTCTGGAGCCGATTAACGCGACGAGGAACTCGCGATATAATATTATCTCCGTCGTCGTGTGCGCTTGAGAAAGATAGATAGATAGATAGATAGATAGAGAGGGAGACCAGTTTTCCTCAAATAATAATTCTCCGCAACATAGAAGCGTGTGCAGTTAATTAGGCCTCGCGCAAAGAGTTCGCGTATATGCTAAATTACACGGGCAAGTTTGTTGCGATAAGGCAATTAAGTGCGCTTTAGATATCGCGATACACGGACGGAGGAAAAAATGGGGTGGGAAAGAAGGGCCCGAACCAGCGAGGATGCGAGAGAGGGGGAGAGAAAGAGAGAGAGAGAGAGAGAGAGAGCGCGGCTGCTGTTCGATCGCGCGATTAAATGCATACTTCGTGAAGAATTTCAACGAAGTGCACAGATCCCCGCGCAGGAGCACACAGAGTGTTCCGAGACCCAGTGAGGAGATCGGGGCGCTAATTATATCCGTAGGACCAATACTCGCGCCGATTAATTATCGGCCGAGACTCGGGCAAGACGACCGGGGCGACCAGTCCCCCCCTCCCAGCCCGCCGGCCGCTCGCCCTACCAACCAAGCAGCGCGGAGAAAGAAGAACTTTGTCGTTAAAGAATCTCTCCCTTGCGTATCTTGCGTATCTCCTCCCGTCGAGCGCGCGCTCGTGTGGTTATCGTGTGGCAGCGGACTGGTATGATTTTTAAGCCGCACAATGTCGAGTTGGTCTCGCGCTCGTTATCGCGCGAGAGCGAGCGAGAAGGAGAGTATTTATAGAGGAATGATCCGGGCGGCTATCCGAGCGAGCGACGAGCGACTCTCGCGCGGACGGACGTCTCCCGGAGCGGGAAAATAAATTCATCGGCGGCACATAAATTTATCGCGCGGCGCTAACAACTTTGTGTACACGCGCACGCACAGGCTGCGAGTCGTACACACGCACACGGTATTAATTATGCTGAACGGCTTAACCGCGCGAGATAAGGCTGGTGACGAGCGTTACGATCCGCGGATATCTCTCATCGTCGCGTCCTCGCCGTCGCTTTTTCGCCGATGCCCCGGCAAACCGTGACGTCACGCCGCGTGTATTGCGAACGGCGCGACTAACGATCGCCGGCTCGGCATCGTTTTTAACGACGTCGATAACGAACCGGTAACATTGTTCTGGCCGCGTAGAAAAGGCGCGCGTTCGCTTTCGACACCTTCGCGCGAGAACGTACTAATCATCTCGACGAGCGAAGAGAGGAGAAGAGTGCGAGAGGGGATACGAGAGAGGAAAAGAGAACGAGAGAGAGAGAGAGAGAGAGAGAGAGAGAAGAAACGGAGCCCACCTCTAAATTAACGAGCGTGGGTAGTGGTTGCGAAGCGCAGAGTCCTCGAAAACGTTGCGCCCGCAAAAAGGGATATGTCGCAAGAAAGGCGTCGCATGTACACACATATACACACACACACACACCTCGCGTCCCGGCAAGGACTCGCGCCGAGGACGCGCGCACGATAATCATTAGAGAACCGTAAGGATAAATGGCTGTTCTAAACGAACCGCTCGTTGCGTAACGAGCTCTCATTAGCTCTCGTCGCACCTCGAGATTCAATCCCACGCCTCAATAGCCGACTACTGACTGAGTGACTTACTGAATCCTTCCGCCGTCGCCGTGGAGAGAGAGAGAGAGAGAGAGAGAGAGAGAGAGAGAGAGAGAGAGAGAGAGAGAGAGAGGGGAGGAGGACGACGACGAGCGAGTTACGAAAGGACAATTATTTCAACGATTCATTGTTGCCGACGCGCGCTTCCGCGTGCGTTGCGCTCTCTCTCTCTCTCTCTCTCTCTCTCTCGCAAGAGTTTCCCGTGCAATCTCCGCGAATCTGCGCAATACCATTGGACGGCACGTCGTCCCTCGTCGCCGCCGCGGGAGAGAGAACGACACGAGCGTGACACAACAAACGAGGAACAACGCGCCGCGGTTTCTCCGTGTAATTCCGGATAATGCGGCCTAATGAGCGCCACGCAGGAGCCGCGGGAGAGTTGCCGCGCGCGACAAGAGCGACGGAAACGCGTTTGTACGCGGGCAGAACCGCGCGTTGCGTCAAACTCCCTGCCAGCCTCCCCTGTCCCGCCGCAAAAATCCCGCCACTTCCGACTTATTATTCCGTTAATTAACAAACTTCCGACACCCACGCACGACTCAGAGAGATGCCTGCGATAACAAGTACAAGTACTGCGACAGCATCGGGAGAATCAAGAAAATCGGTCTCTCTGGCGCGGTCTTCCATGCGCGTCAACGTGTTTCATCACCGCGACGGGTCTCTCAGACTCAGTCGCAGTTGAAGTCGCGGGAAAAAGGATACAAGGATATTCGC